AATTAAGTAGCCTGACCTTTGAAAGCTGCAAAGGATGTGCAAGCCATCTAACCCCCAGTAGACTGGGGAGAAAAACACCAACCAGAAGTTCCCATACATAGAACTAGATCAGACAGAGTAAAGTGGGTCCACCCAAACAATTTAGAATAAAACAATGTATTTGCATACGAGAATGGTCCTTTGTAATGGTTTTAAACTGAGACAGGGGAGGTTTAGGTTAGATCTTAGAGGAAGTTTTTCACACAGAGGGTGGTGATGCACTGGAACAGGTTGCCCAAGGAGGCTGTGGATGCCCCATCCCTGGAGGCATTCAAGGCCAGGCTGGATGTGGCTCTGGGCAGCCTGGTCTGGTGGTTGGCGACCCTGCACACAGCAGGGGGGTTGAAACTAGATGATCGTTATGGTCCTTTTCAACCCAGTCCATTCTATGATTCTATGATTACAACTGCATTCCCACTAAGTTATAAGGATAAAATCATACTTGCATTGATACAATCACAATGATGGAATAAAGCCCATGTGAAGATTATGCCTGATGCTACATGTCAGAGGGGTATGGTAATTCTAAATTCCTCCCTATAACCTGGTAAGGGATACCAACATCTCAAAGTCACCAAATGTGAAATCTGTGTTGGCGATTTATATGACTTTCTCAAGAATGCTATGAGCTTCTCTTTGGCCTTACCTCCATGAGCATGTGGGCATTTAGGTGACATGAGAAGCATTTCTAGGCACCGCCGTAGGTGAATGCAAGCTTACATATGCAAAAATGCTTGGTGATGCTGAGTACCTAAAGCCTTCACAGGGGCCTCCAGACTTGAGATATCCATCCAGCTCTGTGCTCCTTCAGAGCAGCAGCTCCAGGCCAAGTGTCTGACATGACAGAACAGCTACAGGTAAACAGCGGAATCCTTCCTAGCAGCTTTCCAAGTGTGGGAAGCTTGCTGGCTCACAGTAGCACTGTCAGTCACCAACTTCAGCATCTCTGAATGCACTCTGTTGGCATTCAGCGTGATGGCCTTAAGCTGAAAACAAGGAACTAAATGCATCTCCTCTGTCTAACACCCTGTGAAATGAGAGGCGCTTGCGGCAAACCTCACCGCCACCACCAGCACCTCCACCCTGAGCACAGCCGCGACACCAACAACGTGGCCAAGGAGGATGATCACCAAAACTCGTTTTCCTTCGGAGCAATATCCAAATGCAGCTCTTTGAAGATGAGAGGAGCAGGGTGTCTTTCCTGCAGAGATTTTCCCACATCATAAAGCCATATGCATTTTCCTCACTGGGAAAGAAACTTTGATGGAAATGATGCGACTGCAGCACTGCACTGCTCGTATGAGCAGTTTGCACCATTATCCTACTTGTAAGGTTTTTTCCCCTCTTGCAGCACAAGGTATTTTCATGAAACAATGTGTAATTTATTTCCTATAGTTTCTGAGGGTTCTTTAACCACTGAACTGGACGAATGAGAACTCAGCAGACCTTTGTATAATTTATTCATTCACAGATAGTCTAACTATATAATCAATACCTATCACAATTTGCTCAAATACATTACATACCAGGAACAGTGACTGCTTTGATGCAGCAGCTGAGATGGTATTTCCCCCACCACCTCCCACAAAAGCAACAGAATCACTGTGGTCCCTCTGAAAAGCCTTCTGAACTGTCAATTATATGACATTAAAAAGGGAGGTTACTTGAAAAGCAGGGCTTGGTAAGGGCTTGGCTAGAGAAATGATTGCAGGCACAGTGAGCATGGTATGCATGTGATCAGATGCCAAGGAAGGTTTTCAGCAGTTCCAGACAAGGTGTATTTTTGGGTCCCGTCAACTCACACAATGAATGCCTCCAGCAGAAGGTCCAGTACAGAGGTCACACTGCCTGACTGCCATGCCCACAAGTCCCTTCTCCTTCATCAGCCACAATTCAGATGGGCTGGGTTGTTGCTAGACTCTGCTGGAGAGAAACAGCTCTTTCTGAAACCAACTCCAGCTGCTGTTTTGGTAACTTGCTCAGCAGACACTCCCAGAGCGCAGCACAGAGATGGCTGAACCAGTTTTGGCTTCCTCCACTGTGTACAAACATGCAAAGCTATCCCAGCAGGTACTGACCTCTCAGATGTCACGTATCCTTTCGTTTCACGTTATTAATTTCAGTGGGCTTGCAAAAAAAAAAAAGCAGCCCTCAGATTGCTTCAGACCTCTGAACTGCAAAACAAACAGAACCATGCTGGAAGTATGAATCATGCCTTACGGCCATGGATGTGCTGCGTGAGGCCTGAGGAGATGGAGCTGGCCAGGCTGATGTGAAGCAATGTGATGTCCCCGGGGCAAGGGACTGCTCCCTGGGGGGACACAGCATTTGGCACTGAAGTGGTGACACCAGACTGTGTGTGAGGGCACACGTGGCTGCTGAGTCACGGCCCACGGCCTGCTGCCCTGTGGAGAACACCAAAGGTTTCCAAAATCTCCTCTCTGGAAATACCATCTTCTGGAAACCCTGAAAGTATCTTTGCACATGGAGATGTACAAAGATCACTGGCTTGGTGGGCTCCCAAAACCTCTCGTCTCCCAGAAGAGCTTCTCCATTGCTATGCAGGAAACAGAAAGACATTTTTAGATGAGAAAATGAACACATCCTGACCCTGACAACTCGCCAGAAGGCTGAGGTTTAACTCAAAAGAGCGTAAACAGAGAAAATTTCACCTCCTCAATCTTTAGGTGAATTTGAATCGTTTGCTGCTCCTGCTTCACAATGCCCTTGTAGCCCTCTAATTCTCCAGCCCTCTCTCTGTAAGGCAGCCCTGTGTCTCTCCTCCAACCCACATGCCCGTTCTCAGCAGGCTTCTGGCTCCATTCACTTGTGATGCATCCAAACTGACTGGTTGACCTGGTGGTTTTCCACATCACTTGTGACCTTGGACTCCTTTCAAACCAGTCCCATGCTGATGCAATGTGTACAACCTTATGACACAAATTCTTGATTCTGCATGTTCCTAAGGGAGCAGAAATTGTTACCCCCTTTAACTGTTAAAACAATGGATCAGAGGAGATGGTGTGAGGAAACCGTGGAGCTGCAAACCAGTGTTTTTAATCCCTTCTCTGCCACTGAGCTCGTTGTGTGATCTCTGCGCTTGGGCAATGCTGTTCTCCCAGGGGAACAATGAGATGAGGGGACGAGTTGATGGCATAAAGCTCTGTGAGATATGGGCAAGGCAAGAGGATGGAGCGTGACAAACCCTGCAGTGCTTACCCATCTGTGAGCTACCCCAGTGAGCACCTGCGGGTGGGAGGGACACAAAATGACTTTTGGGGAGCTAAATCCATGTGGTCCAGTGTCATGGAATCATAGACTGGCCTGGGTTGAAAAGGACACAAAGATTGTCTAGTTTCAACCCCCCTGCTGTGTGCAGGGTCGCCAACCACCAGACCAGGCTGCCCAGAGCCACATCCAGCCTGGCCTTGAATGCCTCCAGGGATGGGGCATCCACAGCCTCCTTGGGCAACCTGGTCCAGTGCCTCACCACCTCTGTGTGAAAAACTTCCTCCTTGGCACAAGAACATCACACTACTGCCCAAAGCTCTGCTCTGTGCAGGATGCAGACAGCAGGCAGGATGGTCCTATGGCAGGCAGCAGGCGTGTGCTGTTCAGCAAGGCAAAGACCACGTTTGTTGAGGAGCAGGGGACCACACGTAACAATTTGTTCCTTGAATACACAATCAAGAAAAATGATAAGCTTTTAAAAGACAACCTGTGCTTTCTTTGGTCCATATTTGCTGCCCCTGCCCCTTCTTCTCAGTCACCTCTCGATAAAAGAAGGGTCCGACTCGGCTGTCACTTTAAAATGCTTCTTTTTATTTCAGTGGTTGTACATTGGGTGAATGAATTGAACGTCACAACAGAAATAGAATGGTTATTTAACAGACCACTAGTAGTTATATGCTGGAATCGAGCGAATGGAGGGGCTTCTCAAACTGTTACCGAGGTGTTGGTGTGAGCGCTGTCAGTTATACTGGATGAGAGAGGCAAACAAAAAGGTATTTTGGTGAGGAGCTGTATCGCTCGAAGGAAATTACGCTGAGACATTCTCAAGTAGCTTGAAACTACGCCTCAGCCGCAGTATTCACTGCCTCTGTGTTGGCCCATCTCATGGTTCCTTTAGGGGGTTTTATTTGTGTGTTTTTTGTCGGTTTTTTTTTTTTTTTTTTTAATTAAACAAAGCATTTAAAATTTAATCATCTTTGTTAGACTTTTTTTTTTTTTTTTAAATATAAACAAAGTTTTGGCAAATAATATTTATACAGAAAAATAGTTTTAGATCTTCCCAAATTTTGAAATAGTCTATAAAATTACTTTATAAATAAATAAAATGCAGAATCTGTTGTACACGTATTTGCACATCTCTGTAATTGCCTCCTTACCGTTAGCATAGGTTTGTACTTTTACAGTTTTTAGGAATATTACAAAGTCGTCAAGTCGGAAAGTGGATCTCTTATTAAAAATACATTTTCTCTTTTTGTCTGTCAGTTTATCTGGATGAAAGACCTGATGTATCTGAAGCTTCGTCATCCATGGGCAAAAAATAGTCGTATTGGATTACTTGTAGAAAACATAGAATAACAGTTATTTCGAAACATAAAAAGTTCACACAAAACGATGCCTTGAAGAGTTATCTACATAAAATATTTAAACAACATGGATAATTTACCATTTAGTATTATACAATAAGCTACCCAAATGCCTAAATTAACTATTATAAAAAAATAAAAACAACTTTGACAGATATAGGCAAGTTGCAGTGTCAACTACCTAGTTATAATGACTGAGAAAGTCTACAAATATTAGTGTTTTAATAGTATATAATGGTGATACCTTAACTGCTAAAGTAACAAGTTAAGATACGTTATTTTCCCACAAATTAAAACTAACGCAACGTTACAAGCACTATGTTAATTTTACAGTCGAATTGTGATCCTTGTTTTTTTTTTTTTGTCTTTTTTTTTTTTTTTTTCCTGTCAGATGATCAAATCTCCAGCTTTATATATAAATAGATAGTAATTAGACATTGGACGAACAAGATTTAGCCCGGAAATCGTTTCCTAGACAAACAGTTCCACTCTTAGTGCCTTCAGTCGTTCCCAACAGGCAGTGCTGCCAAAGTTTAAAATAGTTTACAATCAATCTGAAGAGGTTAAGTTAAAATACTGCAATCACTAATAATGTCCACATAGAAAACTTATGCTGCAAACAATTATACATAATATCCACTTATAACAGCTGTCTTGTTTTTCAAACAATAATTTAAAAACTATGTCATTTCTGTGATACATGTGCAACATATAAAATGTGAAAATATGAAATATTTGGTACAATAGTGCTTGAAACAAATCTCAAATCAAACAAATGAAATTTTAATTATACATATATAATTACCTTGTAAATCAACAAAGTATTTAAAAAAGTAAACAACATTAAAATCTGCTTCATCCATATATATGTATGTATGTATATATAATATGTATATAATTGTATTAAAGATATCTTCATACTTTCGTGACATAAAATATGTTTTTAAAGAAAAACAATTAAAAGAACTATTTTTTCTCCATTCTAATGTGGTTACAATCGCATAACCCAATTAAAAAAAAAATGCAAATACAGTAATGATTTATTAAACTGAATCTCGTTCTACATTCTTAGTGTTCAGTTAATAACCTAGATTAAAGTCACTTACGAAGTCTCAGTGACTAAACTGAATTTTAATTAAATTAGAGTATTGTACACTTCTCTTCATCTATAGCTTGCTTTTTCTCCTTTCCTTTTGTCAGTTTGGTCTTTTCTTTTGATTTTACGTCGGCCGAGGTTACTCCCTAAGAGCTCGGATCTTTTGGGTAACCCGACCACGAGTCTGAGAGATATTTGCCTCTGCTAGGATTGACTGTTGGCATCAGGCTCACTTTCACCAAGTCTGATGTGACAAAATTTAGGCACTTCTGCAAAGTCTCTTTTAAAAACATTATAAATATACTCGTAAAATAATATTTTCAAGACTTTGTTCTTTTGGGGACTGAAAGGGGGTATGAAGCTCATACTGTGCAAATTTCTCACTTTTTTTTTTTTTTTTTCTTCTCCTATTCTGCTATGACTCAAATGCAACTTCTCCATACAAGTCAAACACCAACCATGTGCATCTAAAGAATTTGTGCTTTACTTTGGGTTTCTGGCTAAAAATTTCAGACTGGCAGGGTGACGTGCAGGACGCCGGGCTTTGTTGCACTTCCTCCCTCTTGGAGTCAAATTGCTCGGGGAGCAAAACCAGGAGTTTTTTTAACCAAGAAGAAAACCCCCAATTATAGTTCGGGTTCAAACTAAACGTGCAACCGGGATATGTTTTTAGCCAATACAAATTAATTATTGCTGAGCTTGAAAGATTCATGGACTGTGAATCTCCCAAGGCTAACTGAATTGGACCATTTCCATTAGGTATAGTTATGGAGAAAAGACAACGTTTGCAAGAATTAAACTATGTTTAGAAAATCTTCAAAAGTAAATGTTACCCTTTATGTCTTGAAACATCACAGCTGGTATCAGGTAGTTAACTATTTTAGGTCGGAGTATAGTAAGCATACCATATTTAATATTCATATATGACATAGCAGCACTAGCTTTTTAGAGTTTGTGATTTGTCCGTAAGAACAAATTCTTTACTTAGCATGCAGTTTGTGGCAATTCTAGAGAGGAGGAGACAGGATAGTATGTACAGTAGCCGTGCTTGGCCATCCGCAGGGAGGCTTCGTGGCACTCCGTCCCGTTCCTGCTGATTACTTCAGGATTATCTGTGGAGAGAAAGGAAAGCGTGATCACGCCGCTGGGTGAGGCCGCCGAGTCCCCAAAACGGGCGGCACTGCTCTGACTACAGCCGGCCTCTACAGGACAGCCTCCCATGCTCTGAATGCTGGCTGGGAGCCCGTGAGTCTCACAGACCTGCTCAGCGCATCCTCCGCTGCGTGAGGACACGTGGAGGGGTTGTTTTAGGTAACAAAACACGAGAGGGAATCGGGGAACCACGCTTGCCTGGCAAGATAGCCCAACTCTGGACCTTGCCAGGGGGCTGGAGAAGCCCCCAGTGCCCACCTCCTTGTGACAGCCAAATGGGGAACAGCATGGGGCAGAGGCGGAGGCAGGGCCGCTCACCATTACCAAGCCAAAACAAAAAGGTGTACCGGGCTGGAAGTTTGTGACAAGTTGTTTTTTTTTTTAATGCATTTCTAGCAACTGCTAATTTCTAACGCATTATCTGCAGGTCAGTGAGTTGAGAGCTCCTTCACGCTTCCTCACACCAGCAAGTCCAGGGGGATGATCCTAAAGGCACCCCTGCCAATCGCTAACCTGCTGGCTTGTCTCCAATGGCCTAAGCCTAAGAGTGAAGCAACCATTCTGCAGATGCAAGCTCTTGTGCCTCCAATACTGCGATGGTATTGGGCAGGATGTGCTCAAGGAGCTTCCAAAATACAAAGGCAGTCCACTCAACCAGCACGCAGCACTGGGAGATGATCTGCATTTCCATCCTCTTCCACATAAAGGGCTGTCAGTGAATGGGATATCAAAAGCACAGGATCTGATGTTTTACCACGGTGTTGTTAATCTGTACTCCAGACCAAAGCACAAGTCAAGGAACTGGAGTGCATCGCTTGCTCTTCCTGTTTGATTTGGCACTCTGTGTATTTTTAAGCTGTGTTTGTAAGTAGTCTGCAAGACAGGCATGACAGCACTTTGACCTACTTGTGTAGTACGCAGACAGACCGCTGCTTAATGCAATATTTATTTTAAAAGGGAAAGAAAAAAGGTGTTTTGAAAATGACTTCAGCAACATACTACCTCTGACATACAGAAAAGAAACACGCTCAGCAATGTGTGGAAAGCCCTTGCCCTAGGCACCCCGAGACCACGCAGAACATGCCTTGCAACCCCGCACTGCTCTGTTCCCAGGGCACCAAGGAGGGCTTTAGAAACAGCACAGCATGCCACAAAGATTGCCAATGAGTACAGACCCTGTCTAACTTGCTGGCATGCTTGAAAGTAATCTCTTATCATCACTGATAACTTGGTGACTCCCACTTTAAAGGGCTGGACGTCTAAATACATCATAGTTACAACAAGGATATATATTTGTAAAGACTTCCACTCATTGTGAGTTTGTGGGCTTATCATCTATCTGCTGTTTCCTATTGAAATAACAGAGAAATACCTTTGCTGAAATAATAAAGCCTTGCCTGTAATAATCCTGGTCCATCTACAGCACTGTGACTTGGCAGTTAGTACAAAGAATGAAGCCGTGCTGAAAATAAGAAGTGGCCCAGATTATCAGCACTGGTATTTTTAGCGTGTTACGACCCAACATGTCAATGTAATTAATAAAGCAGCTTTAGCTATACTGGGTTAGCCATAGTCACGCAAATGTATTTAAGGGATCCTAAAGTCTGGTTTAATGGAACGTAACCTGAAATCTACACAGTTTAAAAATTAGGATTTCAGATATTGCAGCTGCCTGTCTTCCCTGGCAACTTTTGAGGGGACAGAACTTGCATTTTGCTCTCACTTTTTTTCTCCCTGCACCACTGCTACAGAGAAAAGACAGAGAGTTCACTGCCACTTCTAGATGTCTCGAGAGGCCAAACTGGACCGATGCCCCCAGCTCCTCCAAAACACAGGACAGCTGCGGGCAACGCGAAAGAGCCGGGTCCTCCTCCCTTCACCATTCAGGTGAGCAGCAGGGTCCAGGTGAGGACCTCAACCATCCCATCCCCATCCTGCCATCTGTCCCCACTCTCAGCACTCAGGAAGCAGCAAAGACAATGTGGACGCCTCTCCTTTGTGTGCACATCCTGTTTACGTGGTGCTGGGTGCAGGGGAGCGACAGCAGCTGGAGTTCTCCCCCCTGTGTTTGACTCCACTGCATCTTCCTCCTCCCAGCTCTTCCTTGCAAACCCAATGCTCGTGCAGTGTGTAACTAGGGCATGTTGCACCTTGGCTATTCCTAGCACACGTAGGAGTCCTCTGAGGAAAAATCCTCAAGTCTCTCCTTCAGAAGCAGCTTCTCCAATGCAGAGGCGCAGAACTGAGGAGCTACGTTTCTTTTTTAACCTGAACCACAAAGTGTAAAATGCATCCCATGGTCTTTAATTATATCTTCACACCCTATTTCTCCCAAGATATCACAACTCCACCGCAGCTTTGTACACATGTAGCAACTTCTGCAACTGGTTTTTTTCACTGTGTCTGACAGAGGAACACAAAACGGTAAACTACTTTACATGGAAAATACGCAGTGAACTTCTCCCATTTAACCTACAAACAAAGCAATAAGCTCTGTTGGAACATGGAAGCTATCTAAGTCTGCATCGCTGCTAATTGCTCCACTGCCTGCACGCTGAACAAGAAGCTGTACAGACAGTAGTGACCAAAGAACACCCCTGCAAACACTTACTACAGTCTCCACTCCCCCATTACTTGTAAAGAGGTCTAACAACCAGGAATCCTGTTGGAAGTATTACATCTCCTTATGTACATGCACATGACTCATCCCATGTGCTGTGATACTATTACATTCATTAAACTTCCCAACAACTTGATGTGATGTATTGACACCACAGTAAATGTGAGCATTACAAATGGAAAAATACAAGTACACAACAAGTGTGCATTTTTGTGTGTGTATGCACACAATCCCATGTGCAATCATCTATGGCTCAAACATGGGAAAGCATTTTCTCATGCTCTGTAAGGATAATATCACATCCATATCTGCAGGACTGGGTACAGACATGCAGGAAAAGAAACTCTGCTACTGCAGAAACAGATCTAATACGAACACTATTTCTAGCAAAAGCACAATGGCCTGGCACTTGCAGACTGAGACACTAATGCACAGAAGATTTAATAACAGCAAATAGCATTGTTCTGAGCCACAGATGTCACTGTCTTCTTAGTGCTTATATCAAGTGCTGGAGACTACCACTCTCTAGACTAAAATCACTGACATAGTGCCAGTGTGAGTTACTGGACCTCATGAAACTGGGAGGGGATCTGAACTTCTGCAGTCAAGCATTTGATTGCTTTTTTTTTTTTTTTTTTTTGTAAAAGCTGGCTTTCTCTGCTCTCAAATGCAGCAGACAACTCAGCATTAGCCTGCAGTTCCCTCAGACCCAGCAGAGAAGGCTGTGAGTACTTACTGTCTCAAGACTTAAGAGTAAAACAGACAATTTCTTTCCAGTTAAGGTGTAAAATCCACATTTGCGAACCTTTTCTGACCTCGAGATTACTCCGTGCACTGTTTTACTTAATGCCATTCACATCATTACCTGAATTCCTTAGGATCATGACTGGATACTACTGATTTCAGGCCTAGAACTCACGAAACTTGTGTGTGTGCTTTATTCTGCTCGCCACTGGAACAGGTTGCCCAAGGAGGCTGTAGAAGCCTCATCCCTGGAGGCATTCAAGGTCAGGCTGGATGCGGCTCTGGGCAGCCTGGTCTGGTGGTTGGTGACCCTGAGGTCCTTTTCAACCCAGGCCATTCTATGATTCTGTGATTCTGGTTCCAGACTTACTATGCAATGATGAACACAGAAAATGTACCATGCTGCATGAATTCAGCGCACATGAACTCTTGTTCAACTCAGAGATCTGTCACAGTGGATATGCTGGAAAACATGACTTTGCGTCTGGCTCAGAGACGTTTCTCTTTAAGAAGGTCTCAAATTAATTCTCCAAATTACACTTCATGAGTGTTAATACTTTTTCAGGTGGGATTAAGATCATACATGACCTCCGCACTGCAAAGCATTTATCCCTCCAAAAGCGAACTCATACGCAGTAAACATCCCAGCCTCTTAATTTCAGAGCAATGTACTGATAGGAGTTCTCTGCAGACATCTCAGATGGTTTCAGACATGCAAGCCGCAGCCGGTCACCCTGTTTTACATCTTACTACCCTACCTCAGGCAACTTATCTTACCATGAGACAAATTACAAACTCATGATGCTTTTTTTCCCTCCACCCAACATCAGAGTCTGTGGCAAGCAGCTCACACTGAGGTACTTAACTCGTAGCCGTCTGCGACAGGGCAGATGACTCCCACCACAGTGACATTTTCCATTTTCATGTTTCTCACACCAGGAGCAGGATGGTCAGATGTAAGGAGGGTATACATTAAAATTGACAGATATTTTCAGGCAGCCTGCTCATATGAGGCTGTCTCATAACTTCTCCCACTCTCTAAAAATAAAACCAACACCAAGTATTTCTTCCCTTTGACATGAAATCCAGGACTATTTATATTTCCCAGTGCCTTTGGGAAATGCTTTCATGTCTTTATTTTTCATTTTCTCTTAGAATGCTCTACTATGGCATGTGCCTTGTTCTTTGTCTTCACAGTGAATCAGTCTCTCTTTTCTCAATCAAAAATGGAAAAGGATGAGTTTCAGACAGTGTCTGAGAATATTCAGACATTTACTGAGAGTGCTCACCATCTATAGCTCACCATCACCATCAGTGCATCACCATCAGTGCATCACCATCAGTTCTCCTTGTGCATAGATTGATTTCTTTTACCTCTGATTTCTCCCTGGTCAATCAGTGTCCCACTCCAGGACTCCCACCAATGCTGATGCAAGGCCTGGGAACTGACCCTGTCCTCAACCACCTGGATGAAAAGCAGCCTGCCTGCTCCAAACACTCTGCTGGAGGGCTGCTTGGGTAAACTCTGCATCTCCCCCACCTTAGTTATTGTCCTGTCTCCCACCAGCACTGCTGATTGCTTCATCACTGTTCATA